ATACATACATTTATATATATATATATTATTATAAAAGGGTGGACACATTATTGGCAACTTGTGTGTATAGGGAAATTCAGGGCATGGGCGTGCGTAGTTCTTGTTCAAGCAAAGCGTTTCTTACATCGACGATAATGTCCTTGTTTGAATCTCTCAAATAAGACAAAAGTTGAATTGTTATTCTAATGTATGCAACCCACGTAAGAGTAATAGTTTTTTTGTTAAAAATCAGATTCCTGTTTGTGTAAGATGCTATTTGGTCGCTTTTAAGCACAAGGGTGCTATCCCGAAAAATGCTGTTTTGAGAAAAATGAAGCTAAGGTTTTTGGACCCTTGTTCAGTTTCTTTAAAAACAACAAGAGTTTTGTCTATAACTAAACAAATATACTACTCACCAATGAAACCAAACTTCTCTTTATAGTATAGGTAGGGCAATGTCCACTTTTGGTGTTAGTCATGATTTCTGTGAAAACCCCGAAATCTGGATTAGCCCGCTTATCCTTAAAAGCCACCATTTTTAAAAAAAAAGTGTTTCTTTTCTTATTTTTACAGAGAATAGATCTTCAATACCTTCTGCAGACGGTAAGTCTTCTCTTTTCCAGTATTTCTTCTCTTCAAATCAACACACACACATTCATAAAAAAGTAACCTTCACTATCTTGTTACTCTTTTGATAGACCAAAACATGTACTATTACAATTCTTGTGGCTGTTTAGGATTTGCCTAGTTTGGCTAAACTTCAAATTATGTTTTTGTATATATGTGTATGATATTATAAACAATGTATTTAGTGTAATAGATATATACAATATATTAAGTACATTGTATATGTGTAAATTAATGTGTTTATAATTTATAGGGACATACATGCTATATCATGAGGATAAACTTTTAGTACCTGATGTTGGTGCTGTTGTTGTTGTTGCTGTTGCTGTTGCTGCTGCTGCTACTGTTGCTGGTGCTGGTGCTGGTGCTGTTGTTGTTGTTGTTGTTGTTGTTGTTGTTGTTGTTGTTGTTTCTCTCCTTCTATTAAAAAAACAACAAAAACTCAAACAAACAAAAATGCGTCAAAAATCTCCAAATAACCCCCCCTCACACACACACACACA